ATTTGTTAATTCTTTTATTGGTTTTAAAATGGAAAAAATTTGTCAACACTTCATATAAAAACTCCCATTTTGTGAATAATTGAACACATTATCATTTGAAATAACAGAAGGATAATTATCAAGAATCTATAGAACAACAATAATATAAATTCCAGAATTATCATTAAATATAAAACTGATTTGCTCAGCAATAATGTTTAGAATTATTTCTTTTATTTGTACATTATTGTACTCATGATAAAATGTAAATTGTGATATTGCAAGGTATCATTTCAATACCAACTATTTAACAAACATGGCTGATTATGGCTTAACAATGGGATATTCTTGTCAGTTAATTGTAATAATATTCAATACTTACCAACTAATTAACTAATTACTTTATTAACATCAAAGAATTTTTTTTCCAATGTACTAGCATTAATTTAGTATGATTTTCATCTCATCGGTTGCGCCAATTTCACCAGTTTCAACGGTTGCACCAAAACCGATTGGTGAATGGTGCAATGTCGAAACCTGCGTAACTATCTGAATAGGTTCCACCAGCAACCTTATATATTACACCATTTTTTCCCTCCATGACCAGTAAAATTTATTGCACAGGAAATTTTCCGGTAATTTCAACTGGCATTTTGCGCCCTGTGCAGGACATAATTCAAGACATGAGACTAAAAATGGCTCCTCAATTAATTGTGGCATATGAAAATTGAATTGTGGCTAATTGCGGTTCCCATATTTACACTAGTGATGGTGGCCGATAGTTTAGGCATTTAGGCAATTTTGGTTTAGGCCCATGAAAATTTTCTGGCGAAGCCTAAACTGCGGGCGAAAATCAAACAAACAATCAAACCTATTGTTTAATTTATGGCCATAAGAATGTTTTATTAAACAAAAAAAAAGCAAAAATGTTCAAAACGAATTAGGTCAAAAAACGATATATAGGTCACATGTCCTACATACGATTGGACGACACTTGAATAAATCCGTTGACAATTTTAACAAGTTCAACCCACACACGGTTTAGGCAATATTCAAGTTTTATCACGCCTAAATTCCTAATTTCTGTGGGTGAACCTATTTTTGGATTTGCTAAAATAACCTTGGCTACCATCATTACATAAGACACAATTTGTGTATGAACTTTAATTCAAACTTTAACTCTTTATTACATGAAAACTTTTTAATTTTTTTTAATTTTAATGTAACATCAATGTTTCATAGTCAAAAAGGTTTTGTTAGCGAATAAATTATGCTTGCTCCATGAATTGTGACTTGCATCACGAATTGCATCTCGCGTCAGTTGTATAAAATTATGATAGGTGATGGTGCAATGCAGATTTTTAATTGCAACCTCGAGTATAATTGGTACAGTCCAAGTTTTCAGGTTTCGGGTTAAAATTCTTAAACCTGAACCCGGGCCAAAAATTATCAGGTTCACTCAGACCACTCGAAGCTTTTTAATCTTTATAACAATAGTAAAGGATGAATTTAAAGATATCACTTGTCCAAAACCAGCACAAAATGTTGGCAATTAACTTCTTTTTGATTCTTTCCAGGTGTTGTGTTAAATAAAGCTCTTTTACTGGTTATGATTTTTCTTTCTTGGTAAATTCCATAGGTAATTTTCTCTTTTCTTAGATAATCTTTGAATTTAATAAGGAGCAATTTTTTCACCTTGTTCCTTCTTAAAAATACTTTTGATAGTATTATAATTCCATGGTGGATCTGATGTAAATTAGTTTCATATTCATATGAATAATCCTATTTATCATATTTTTCCAAATATATTTTTTCAAACAAATAAAAATTGATATTATTGCAGAACAAAAAATTGCAAAATGACTATTGAACATCCAGGTAATTTTGTTTGGGAAATTTTTCTCAATCACAAGTCAGCATCCAAACTCCAAGGGTCATTAATTACCAAGTAGCCTCATGCATATCATGTCTTGATAATATTATAAAGTATTCTAATTGAAAACTTTGTCATGAATTCAGTACCTTTTTCAAATTATAGATTAATATTAAAATATTAAAATAACAATAAAATTAATTTATATAAATATATTTGATCATACTATCAAAAGGTGACTTAGAAGACAAAGTTTCACCTTTTTAGATTCTGTCCTCTTATTGCATCAACTACGTCTTTTGCAGTTCTAAAACATCTAACACACTGTTGATTCTTGGGGTATTATATTATATAAAATATAGGAAGAGAGAGATGATTTCAATTAATATATAAATAAATGTAGTAAGCAAGAGAGAAAAAAATAATTGATAGATTACCATCAACGGCCATAAAACAGTGATAACGTGAATCTGAATTGTTGAGATTGTGAACAGTGATGAATTCAGTGTATTCATTCACTCAGCCAGTAACTTTTGGGTAACATAATAACAATATCTTCTTCATAAATTCCAATTCATTATTATGAATATTGCGTTTCCATTTTGCAATGCACTGGTGAAGCTTAATAAGTTTATTGAAAATGTTTATCTATCATTAATCAATCAAATTAATCCAAATTTGTAGAATTGTGAAACTATAAATGTTACTCTAACTTCTATTTTTACTGACAGAAAAGAGAGACACGCACAAAAATTTTTTTTTCTTCGCATAGTAATAGCATTACATCTTTAGAAAGTTTATATAATATTTATTATATAATACTCTCTCATTTTTTCTCTATACATATATATTTATTTATTCAAATTTTTTATAATGGCTCATGTAACGACTGTACCTTGTCAGGTAACTTTTTATTCTTGGGATGATTTCTATATAAAAAACCAAGCTTTTAATAATTCATTGGTTTTAATTGCTGCTTGTGATAATTGTTAGTATAGAACTGGAAGAACCCTTGGTCAAGGAACTTATGCTGTAGTTAAAGGTTGGTTAAAACAACGCATATATATACATATACATGTTATACTACATACAATTGAAATGAAAATGCTTAGAATGTTCAAGAAAATATATAATATGTACGTATATTAATATCAATTATATCAATTATTTAATCTATATATTGTCTTTTCTTTTAATATGTATAATAGAGGCTCAACATGTATGTATTGATTAATTATTATATATGTATGTATATATATTCGTTATATTCATTTTACTTAATTAATTCACTTCTCTTCAAAAAAAAAACCCATTTAGATCAAAACAGAAAAATATTATGCAGTAAAAGTAATTAATAAAAAACTTATGGAGGGTAGAGAGCATATGGTTAGAAATGAAATTGCAGTTCTAAAAAAAGTATCACAAGGTCATAAAAATATTCTAACTTTACAAGATTATTTTGAAACTATAAACAATCGTAAGTTTATTTTTTTATTGTTATTTTACCTTTTAGTTTAGCTTTTTTTGTTTCCTTGGCATTTATTAATAGTATTTGTTCTTTATTTATTTATTTATTTTTTAATTTTAATCAAAATAATATATATTGTATCTAGTTTATTTAGTTACAGATTTGGCTCTTGGTGGTGAATTATTTGATCGTATTTGTGCAAAAGGAAATTATTATGAACGCGATGCTGCTCATCTTGTTCGCAGTATAACTGATGCTGTTGCTTATTTGCATGATAACGGCATCGTTCATCGTGGTAAGTTGTAAATGTATATATATTGTCGTTATATAATCGTCTTATATTTATTATATATGATTTTTTTTAAAATATAAAATAAAAATTTGAAAATATTTATACTATTTATGTAGATCTTAAGGTGAAATAAATTTTTTTGGAAATAAAAATATTAACAAAATTCAATCAAGAGCCAATAACAAAAAAAAATATATATTAAACATATTTGTTTTTGACGCTTTTTAGCCGGAAAATTTACTTTTTAGAACTCGAGCTGAAGATTCGGATCTTCTTATTGCTGATTTTGGTCTTTCTAAAATCATTGATTCTGAGAAATTCCACGTACTTACCACCACATGTGGCACTCTTAGTTATATGGTAACAATAACTACAATTAACTATCCTAATGTTTATTTTATATATTAATTATAATATACATGTATATATGTGTATGTGTGTGAATATTAGGCACCTGAAATATATAGTAGAGTCGGCCACGGTAAACCGGTAGATTTATGGGCCATAGGTGTCATTACTTACTTTTTATTATGTGGTTATATACCATTTGAACGGGAAAATAATGCTGATGAAATTGATGCAATTCTAAAAGCTGATTATAAGTTTGAACCTCTAGAATTTTGGGAAGGAATTTCAGAAGATGGTAAAAACAAACAAACAATAATATTATTAATTATTAATTATTTGCTTGATCATAATAAACATGATAATAATGGTAATTTCTTATCATTGATGACGTTTAGCCAAGGATTTTATTAATAAATTACTTACGATTGATCCCGATGCTCGACTTACTGCTCATAAGGCTTTGGCGCATCCTTGGCTATCCGAACCGTTACAAACTCCAGTCGGTGGTTACCCAAATCACGATTTGTTGACTAGTGTTCGTCATAATTTTAATGCTCGTAAAACTTTTAAGAGAGCTGTGGATGCCGTTAAAGCTATCAATAGCCTTAAAAATCATACAAGAAGTAACAGTCTTGCCAGTTTATTGGAAAAAACTAAAGCTGAAATGGATGAAGAAGTCGATCAAGTTTTATATTATCATTGAATATAAATATATATCACATATAGTTTTGGAATTTTAATTTTAATTTTTTGGGATTCTTTAATAATATATTTTTTTTATATATATTTATATTTCAACTTGGTTCAACTTTATTATATCAAGAATATACATGTAAGGTTTTATTTATTTATTTTTTTGCATTTGTTTAATCCTTTTTTATATAATAATGATGATTGGAAAGAATAAAATTACAAAAAAAATATTATTGTTATTACTATCTATGAAATAATAATAAATTAAATATTATCTTTACAAATTATATGCATCATCCAGTGATATTGTTTTTCACGTAAATATGGTTCAACAAACCAAGGTAAAGTTAGTAAACTAATGAAATACCAAAAAAACATACCAACAAATTTGGTGAATCTCCAATTATTCAAGTTAAAAAAATATTTATAAATTAAATTTACAATCAACTCCCAAACAAGAAAAATTATACCGTGAAATAAAAAAAAACCAAAATGTTCACCATAACTTACACCAAAAGTGGTATAATTTATGTATTCATGTATTGCAGCACTTATGAAAAAACTACCTAAAACACCTATTATCTCGCCTAATATATTTTGTTTTAAATGAGATTTTGAAGGTTTATATGCCAATTCTACAAAACTTTCATGGATTAATTGATGCCACCTATTCGACCAAAAATCTCTTGGACTTGAAGAAAGATATGGTTGATCAAACATTGGTTTCGAATAGAATAATGTAGAGACTAACCAAATTTTTAGAGAACTAATTTGAACAGAAAATTTGACTTTTCCAATTGCTTTGTTTTGATTTTTTTCCTCGTAAAGTAATATCAAATATAGTAAATTTGAAAAAATCATTAAAAATATCTGATATAAATACAACATAGACATATAAAGAGTTAATAAATATATTAAACTATAAAATATTTCATAAAAAGATGTAATATTTTCATAACCGCCTTCACTATTATCACTAATAAAAATATATTTTAAATAATTAATAATGCGTGTTGGATAAGTTTTTGTTCGAACTTTAGGCGCAAAGAATTCCAAAAATTCAGCGCCTGAAACATAAAATAACCAGTTTCCAATAGTCAACATGCCACATTTATTCATATATTTGATCAATTGATCTGTTGTTAAATCTTTAATGAATTTATAGTCGTTGCTGTCATTGTTGTTATTGTTGTTTATAATCTTTCCTTCTTTTGGTCTCAAATTAAATAATGCATAAAAAAATGGAGAGAATTGTTGTTTCTTCTTCTTATCATCATTGTTAAAATAATATTTTTTCAACCAAATTATCATCTTACACACATAAACTGATGTGACCAAAGTGCATGGTGTTTGAATATTATATGGTAATTGGCCTGGATAAATTGAAGGTGTTAACAAGTATCCAAACATTGAAAACAATAAAATCATTAATCGATAATTGAAAATCTTTTTTGGTGATGATGAAGGTTGTAGTAGAGGAGGAGGCTTAAACGAAAACCAAATGAAAATCGATAGTGGAATAAGATTTATCAGAATATATGCTGTTGATGAAATTGGAGACGATGTGGGAGAATGAACTGAATTTTTAAAAGCCAAATATTTGGCACACAACACGATGATTATAATTATTGATTTTATTAAAGAAGACATTTTAACAGTGAATTCATTTTTTTTCAATAAATTTAATAATAAATCTTTTTTAAAGTGAATTGTTTATATTTGGTGTATTACACTTGGACAAATGTGGTGTTTATATTCCTAAACAAGGTTTTAAGTTAAACGTTGCAACGAGTGAGTGGAGTGAACAATAGTAATAATAAGACGGGCGGGCATGTGCACGAATTTATTTGTAGGGAAGGACAAAACAACGGATTGTTTTTCTTCGCAGGAGCAGTAATCATCAACTAATATTAATATTAAATAGCTAGTTTACTAATCTTTTTTTTTAGTCGCAAAGAATTACAAATCCAGTAAGTAGAAGCATTCTATGGGGGGCTTTTCTAGCAAAAAGGGCCTTTCAACCAAATTTGTGTTTTTACATAATATTAAATATAAAGATTATTTATTATATAGCTGGCAAAAATATTAGGTCTTGTTTACCTTTTAAAGTAGTTTGCGCGTGATCTACATACCCCATTTTTAATAAAAAAATAAAACGTTTTATTAGTCAATTATTTAATAATTATATAGGCGAGTTTGATCGAAGCAAGTGTTAGTCAAGATCAATGAAGCTTGCAAAACGAATGTTCATCAATTATTCAATAATTATGTAGGCGGTTTTGATCGAAGTAAGTGTTAGTCAAGACCTATGAAGCTTGTTTATCAATTATTCAATAATTATGTAGCCGTGTTTGATCGAAGTAAGTGTTAGTCAAGATCTATGAAGCTTGCAAAACGAATCAATTATTCAATAATTATATAGGCGTATTTGATCAAAATAAGTGTTAGACAATTTATACATTTTATTTATTATTTTATAGTGAATAAAATAAGTATTTTACACATTACGTACATTATACGCGGGATCAAAAACATACTATTACTAGTAATAGTATTAGAACCTTTTTAGTATTAGTGCTAACTAATATGTTACAAATTCTGTACCTTATATGCGGAATCAAAAAGTACCTTTTCAGTACAAATTCTGTACCTTATATACGGAATCAAAAAGTACCTTTTCAGTATTAGTATTAGTATTACTATGAATGAAAGAATTAAGATTTATAGTTCGCTAATCATTTAAAACTATTATTATTATTGAAAAAACTACGTATAGTCGAACGGTCCTTGTTATAATGGATTTTTGTTATAATAATAAAGTATAACTTCATCCGACATATAAGTTCGATCGATATAATAATCTCGTGATTTAAAAAATTAGATAACATAAACGCACTTTATTAATAAAACATGGACTTTATTAATAATAAATAATAAATTTATTTACATTATTGAAAGTTATGTTAATAAAGAAAAGAAGATTTCGAAAAAGAAGCGGTAGAATTTAAAAAATAAGAAATCAAGGAAAATTGTAATTGAAGAGCCAAATAACTTTATAACCATATATAAATAAATATTTTTAATTTTAATTTCTAATATCTTTAATTCTAACATGAACAGCATTTCTATGAGCTTCCAACCCTTCAACTTCAGCTAATCTCATAACAGTGTCGCCTATTCTATCTAAACCTTCTTTTGTCAACTTTTGAGATGTAATGTGTTTTACAAATGTCAAAGTGTTGACTCCTGAATACATTTTAGCATATCCATAAGTTGGCAATGTATGATTAGTGCCTGATGCATAATCACCACAACTATATCAAAAAATATTATTATTATTATTATAGAAATCAAACCAAGTTATGAAAGTTTTAATTAATTATTAAAGTTTTTGTTCAATTACCTTTCTGGTGAATAGGCACCAATAAAAACACTACCAGCATTTTCCACTTTATCAATCCATTTGTCAGCTTCTTCAATATGCAATATTAAATGCTCTGGTGCATAATCATTAGAAAATTTCATTGCTTCTTCCATATTATCAGCTTGTAAAATAAAACTTTTTGGAATAGACTCGCTTACTATATTGACTCTTGGCAATTTTTTTGCTTGATCATTGATTTCTTGTTCAATTTTTATAAGAAGTTCAGGTGTAATTGAAACTGTTACCAAAACCACCTGAGAATCTGTTCCATGTTCAGCTTGTGATAAAAGATCTGATGCAACATATGCTGGAATACTTGTGTTATCAGCTATCACTAAAAGTTCAGATGGACCAGCCGGCATATCAATCGAAACCATTGCAAAACTATCATTCTATTATTAAATTTATAATTAGATTTTTTTAATCATTAAATGAATTATGAGAGTTGATATATAAATTTATTTATAGAATTGATTAAAAAATATTATTTTTAATGTTTTTAAAAAGTTCTCTCTCTCATCTTACCTGAGCTAACATTTTGGCAGCAGTAACATATTGGTTTCCAGGTCCACATATCTTGTCAACTTTGGGAACTGATTCGGTTCCATAAGCAAGAGCTGCAATAGCTTGAGCACCACCAGCTAGTAGAACCTTGGAAGCACCAACCTTATGAGCGACATATAAAACTTCAGGTATAACACTGCCATCTTTACGGGGTGGACTGGCAATAGTAATCTGTTTGCAACCTGCGACTTTGGCTGGAATTCCTAACATAAGTGTTGTTGAAGGCAATGTTGCAGTGCCACCAGGAACATAAAGTCCAACTCGCTCAATCGGTCTACTAAAACGTGAACACACCACACCAGGCATAGTTTCAACAACCAAAGTAGAACGATCATACTGCGCTTCATGAAATTTATAAATATTTTCATAAGCTTGATCAATAGCATTACGTGTGTCATCATCCAACATCATTGCTTCCGAAGGAAAAGGTGCAGAAATCACAGGCGAATCTAGCTTTATGCCATCAAATTTTGCAGTCAATTCAATAAGAGCTTTATCACCTCTTTTACATACATCATCAACAATGGGACGTACTCTGGACATGATATCATCTGATTCAATAATTGGTCGTTGAAGTAATGATAATCTTTTGGTGGCATCAATTTCAGATAAAGTAAAATTTTGCATGCTTATCATTTCTTGGTTTATGGAATTGGATTTTCGATCAACTTCACTATTTGATGTTTCTTTTTCTTGTTTTTTTGATACATCCCATTTTGGTTTCGCATCACCTGGTCTTCTAGAAATTTTTTTTGCTCGCTTATCCAAATGTGATTCTATGTCTGATAATGAAACCCCATTAGCTACACATTTGGCAAGAGTGAAATATATCAAGTCAGCAGCTTCCATATAATTTCCTCTTTACTAGTTGCTGCACATAATTCATCAGCTTCTTCCATGATTTTTGATTTAAGCAAATCAGGGTTTTGAAATAATTTTTGGGTGTAAGAGCCAGGTGGTGCAGATGATTTACGACTTAAGAGTGTTTGTTCTAATTGTGATAAGCCATTGCTTGAACCAAAACAAGTTTGTGTATTTAAATGACAAAATCCTTGCAATTTCAAAACAAAATTATTTCAAAA